ACCACTGATCGTACCACCGCTCTCACTCCTCACACTCGTCCCTCTAATGATCGCATTCCTTTCACTCTTGCGTATCATCCTATTAATAGGAAGATTAAGATTCCCGTTTTTCCTTCCCGCAAACGGCAAACGTGACCACGTTTTCATCGCTCTCCTACACTTCACTTTGCCTTTTGCAAACCTTCTCGACAAAGACAAGTATTCTTTTGTTTATCTACTACTTGGAGATTTTTGCGATTCCTTTTCACTAATTTTAAAGAATTCTTTAATGGTCAACTGACGTTTCACGTTTGCCGTAAACGAGAATCTAAAACTCTCTACAAACTCCATTAAAACCACTCGAGTTCTTCCCTCTGACAAAGAACCTGCTATTTTTGGCTGCTCTCGTAAACGTTGTTATACTTGTCTTCATACAGTTTCTCACACTTCTGTTGTCGGTCCTAAATCCACTGTTAAAATCACTGACCACCTTGTTTGTACCACTTCTAATGTTGTATATTGTATGAAATGTACTCGCTGTAATCTTTTGTATGTGGGCGAGACTGTCCGCCGTCTTGGTGATCGCATTTACAATCATCTTTATGATGTTAGCAATAACGTTCCTACCAAACCAGTTTCCCGCCATTTTAATCAAGCTAACCATTCTCTTTCTGACTTCATTGTTTTCGGTCATTCTTTGATTGCGGCTTATTCACCTATTGGGCACTCTTAGTCCAAACGGGATTAATGAACGCTTTGCTTTTAACAAACCTACTCTTTGTCTTTTGATTGTTTCTTTCGTTTCCTKGCCCACCTTGTTCTCATAGGTTTCTTTTGTCTTATTCTATCATATAAACACTCCTTTCTACCACCTCTTTCTCTTTTACTCCGACGAAGGACTAGCATCCGAAGCGTCATAAGTTTTTTCATCTTTCCACAGTGTAAAATTTACCCTGTTATCGTTACTGTTTCAATAGAAACACCGACGCAGATCACACTAGTTTTAAGTTAGTTATCTCTTCTAAGTGAAAATAAGTTGGTTTCGGACGACAGTGACCAAGTCCAAGTTCAAGTTCTGGTTTTAGCATACGTATAAATACACGGATAGCTCGAGACTTCAGAATTACTTGACTCTTTATAATTTCCTTCGTTAACCGATATTTGCAAGTTAATGTACATTTTCTAAAAGAAAATTTTCATTTACGAATTACTGTAACTAGAAGTTGAATAATACGAGAACGATCTGACAGTCTAAATGCTAGCCTACTACGCAGACTTTCCTAGTGTCTGTCGCGAAACATTGCGTATATCTCTGCAAASATTTTAAATAACCTGAAAAATCCTCTACCATCCAAATATTTAGGAATATCAGGCTTCCTCCCTGCAAAATTCCACGTCACAAAGTGCCTTCGATCTCCGTCGGCGTACATCAACACAAACAATTTTTTTTTTTGCAAAATTTCGTCAAAATTCTTAACCTGAACKTCTGTCGCTCCGATTTAAAAATTTATCGATGATTTTTTTCTGACTTCCAAGAGTTAAAGTTCACCATGTTTGCAAAACGCTGTGCGAGCGCCGATTCCATTGAAGTCTTCTGAGGCACCCGAAAAAAAATCCAAAGTTCAGTAGGCTCTATGATGTTGTTTTCGAGTTACTAAAATAAGTAAGTTATTAAAATAAAGTGAAATAAATAGGAAARCATGGAAAAGGTGCGATTTCCTTTTCAGTAAACAATTAATCTTAATAATATAGGATTAATTAACAAACAATAACTATTTCGGCTAGCAGCGATAATAGATATATAACTACCAGCCTCACTCAACCAATCACAGCGCACGAAAATCTACATAAGTAATAGATATTTCAATGGCACATTCATAATTTAGAGATGCAGTCTTTATAGAAGAGCTAAGCACCACCATATAGAGGTATATCATGAAATAACAAAAATACTTCTACTCTGACTGTTTGATAAAATGAGAAATGAAAACAAAAGCCCTATCACTTACAATGTACCACTGCTCCTTAAACATTGGATCATTAAAACTTGGTGAAAAAAGTTGATATTCCTTTACTTTCTGTTGCATAAACCATTCTATCTGGAAAATAAATAAGAAT